GTCCAGATTCAGCCACTGTTGAAACTGATCAGTTTCAGCAGCGGCTGAATCTGGACGCCAGTTCCGACTTACATACAGATTCAACTTAAGAACAAACCTACAGTCCCTATCTTGTACGTAACCCGGGGACTGCCTGTACTTGTAGAAATAGAACTAGCAGAATCTTGTTGGGGGATAAGTCAATATGCCACACTGTTTGTAAAGGCATTCAGCCACTGTTGAAACTGATCAGTTTCAGCAGCGGCTGAATCTGGACGCCAGTTCCGACTTACATACAGATTCAACTTAAGAACAAACCTACAGTCCCTATCTTGTACGTAACCCGGGGACTGCCTGTACTTGTAGAAATAGAACTAGCAGAATCTTGTTGGGGGATAAGTCAATATGCCACACTGTTTGTAAAGGCAGAATTCATTTACTGTCCCTAGCTAATAAAATTACCCACCACACATACAGACACTCATACACACAGTTCAACAGATGGAATATAATTACCAGCCTCAGTTGTTCATGCTATTCCACTGGCCAGGTGGTCTAGACATGAAGAGGGGAGCCGAGTTGTGTCAGTCTGCACTGATGATCATGGAGGATGATTGTAGAACTGAAAGACCCAGTTCTGGTGTTTTGCACTCATCTTTTTATGTGTTTTAATCCATGGAGCCTGTCCTTTCCCATTGCCCCAGGACACTATATTACCATGAGTCATCAGATAAGGGCAGATGGGACTTTTGTCTCTCTCTTTCTTGGGTGGGTTCTTTTGCAGGGTTTGCTCATAATGCTCTTCATCCACCAAGGTGGTGCTGGCAGCTGGTCTTCAAGGCTGGCTTGAGGGACTGATTCCTTTACACGAACACACATTCATACGTTTACATAGACACACACCTAACTTTTTTAAACAGAGTTAAGGCAGTATGAAGTTTAAAATGGAGTTTGTTACTTTTTTATAACCTTTATATAGACTATATATATAGTAACATTAACAGATTATCCAAAGGCAGTTCTTAACAGGTTACTAACAAATTAATCTAAATCCCATTCATAAACATTGGGCTGGAATTCATGAGGTTACATACATAATGTGCAGACCTACACAGGAAGCCGGCTCTGGTGCTCCAACCTTGCAGAGGGTCCGCAAGGCAGGAGCACCAGTGCAGGCTCCCCATTGTGGGGAAGAGAGGGGATGGAGGAGGCTGCAGCTCAAACTGTGGACCACCTGCAAGGTGTCCACAGACCACTAGTGGTCCATGGACCTCCGTTTGAGAACCACTGGACTAAATTGTAGTAATCAAGGTAGGAAATGACAAGCTGTTGGGACAGAAGGAAAAAGTTGGATTTCTATAATGTAAAAGACAAAGCTAGACTTTATTTAGTCTAATTAATTTTATTTTTAAGTCAAACTAATTAACATGTTGAAGAGAGAGAATACATTTCTGGGTCCTTAGGAAAAAATAGAAGCTGGTGGCAAAGACTGCAGTAATACAACCACAAACTGTCCTGGGGCAGGGCACCATAAGCTTCAGAAGTGGATCAAGTGATAAATAAACTGGTCAGAAGTTATTCTTACATCCTTTTCTCTCTAGCTCCTCTCCATAGGAAAAAATTCCCTCCAGAACTAACCTCTGATTTCTTGACAAAGAGGTAAGTTCCACATCTGATGGTGCTTCTTTTTTTTCCCTTTGCTTTGTGTCTCAGCTGACTGCTGCTCATAGCTTGCAGGGTCTTAGGCTTTTCCTTGTCATGTATATTTTAGATCATGGTAGAAGAAAAGAACTGGAGGCAGTTAGTGCTTTATAAGTTCAAATATCTGATCCTCTCATCATGTAAATTTTTGTTTTTAAATGGATAGAAATGGACATTGTATTTCAATCCAGTATTAGAAGTCGATATTTGGAATACAGTAAACTTCTGATAATCTGGCACCTTTAGGACCCAGGGGGTCCCGGATTATCAGATATGCCGGACTATCGGAAGGGGGGGCTATGAGCAGCGGCTGAATCTGGGACAGCTGGGGTGCTGTAGGGTTGGTCCCGCAGCCCTGAGGGGAAGCACTACGGGACCTTCCCCGGCAGCACTCCAGCTGCTCTGCCCCCGGCTTCCCCGATTCAGCCGCTGGTCAGTTTTAGCAGCAGCTAGATCGGGGGAGCTGGGGGGGGAGCAGCTCCCACGGGCCGGCTTCCGGGTTGCTGATGGTGCCAGACCATCAGGAGTGCCGGACCATCGGAGTTTTACTGTAGTTAGTAGGATTTGAAAGTGTGTTTGAACACTGCAAATTTCATTTGGGCTTTTCATATTTTTCAAAGTAAGATTTGCAGACCATTTTCCTTATAGTTCACTTGCCATCCATCACTCTTGTATGAATTAGTGGAAAGGAAAACTATTTCTGCACTCATTTAATCTTTGAGTTTATTAGGGAATGATGCATTGAAAATCCACTTCTTGTTATGTGTTACTCTTCAATATAAAAAAGCCAGTTGTCATAAGATACTAATTTACACTTGACTAAGTTATTAAAATACTTTTATGCCCTTAATTCTTTGATCTCAAGTAACTTAGGAAAAGTATATGTCTTGGTAACAGCTTTTAAAATCAGAGAGTGTTTTTCTGCATCACTTTGGTTAAAAGATCCTTTACCATGTTCTATAATTAATATAGAGTTCCATCTTTAAAAAGGACATAATGACAAGTATTTCAGACCCAGAATTTTGTGACAATTAAAGTAATAATCTCACTTGAAGGATGTCTGTATACTAAATATTTAATTAAAATATTTATTTTCAAACTTAAAATAATAATGAAAACAATGGAGAATAAAAACAGTAAGACTATTATAGTACTTGAGTGTATTCTGTTTCAGTTACATGTGTTGCATTTTCCTTTCATTCTAACCTTAAAAGGGCCTTGCTCCATAAACCAGTTAGGCAAACTACTGTGCTGGCTATAATAAGCTATTGAGGAAGTAGATATGAGAGATGCATTTTCAGCTGGCGGAAGCTTGTTTGAACTTTGCATATACTGAAAACTGGAATACAGGTTTTTTTTAGTCCAGGGGCCAGGCTGTGGAAATTGACAGAAACTGCACTCATATTACTTGTTTTCTGGTGTTGCTATTTCATCAGTCTAACAGCTGACAAAAATGTAAAATCCCTCACTTGTCTTTAGGAAGCTTTGATAACACAAATATGGTGATGAGAGAATGAAACAAAATAAAAGGAGAAACAGAATAAAAGGATTAGTCTCTCTAGTCCAGTAGTTATGGCATACACCTGTGACTTGGCATGATTGGGTTTAAGTATCCACTCTAAATCAGGCAGAATACGGATTTAAACTTAATTATCCTATGTTTTTGTACCCCTGGTGAATGCCATAACTGCCAGGCTATGGACGATGGGCTCACTGATAGCAGGAATTCCATCCTGGATCTGAGAAACCTTCCTAAAAAGGATTTGTCAATACTACTCTTTAATTGGAAAAGTTTCTGATTTTGATGAATTGCCACTTTTGGATGAAAAGTTGTGGGTCAGTGTCTTTTCCATATCTATTTACCCCAATTGACTGAGATAATACTGTATAAAATTCACATTTTTTTAATTAGCAGAAAACAATAAGGATCCATGTACATCATTGCCCAGAGTAGCCACTAAATAAAGGTAGTTTTATGTGAACTAACCTGACAAAACCATTTAATGATAGAATATACAGTAAAACTCCAGTGGTCTGGCATCCAATGGTCCGGCGCTGCTGATGGTACGGCACCATCTGGAACCCGGAAGTGCTCCGGGCAGCCGGACAATTGGAGCTACTCTGCCCCCGGCTTCCCCGATTCAGCCACTGCTGAAACTGACCAGCGGCTGACTTGGGGAAGCCGGGGGCAGAGCAGCTGGGGTGCTGCCGGGTTGGTCTGCAGTGCTGAGGGGCGCATTTTCCCCCCCCCCCCCACTCCACCCCAGACCTCTCATAGCCCCCCCTTCTGATAGTCTGGCCTATCTGATAATCCAGCACCCCCTGGGTCCTAAAGGTGCCAGATTATCGGAAGTTTACTGTACCAGGATAATCACTGTAGTGGCAAAGTAACTGTCTGAATAAAGTAATTAAGGTCCTGAGGTGAGGCCAAAGGCTGTTAGATCTCTGAACACACAATTCCTTCATTCTACTGGTTGAACCTCTCTAATCCAGCACCCTCAGGACCCGTCCGGTGCTGAACCAGAGAATTTGCCGAACAATGGAAGGTCAGTATTTTCTAGCGGCATTATCTACACTTCCACTGGGATCTTGGAAGGCATTTAGGAGTAAATTAGAGCTAACTAACAACAGAGAACACTGAGCTAAGACTGGTGGCTGTAAACAAACTTTATAGGACCGTGAGAAACTTTGTCATACTCATGAAAAGTGAACATTCAGCTAACTAAAATCATGCTGGATCACTGATGTTGCTGGACCAGACAATGCTGGAGTAGAGATTCAACCTGTAATGCTCATTCATATGGATCATACCACTTTTTAACATTACCGACAAACCCAGAACTCTTTGAATATTGTAGGGAAGTGTAGCATTCCTTGCATATTTATCTGAGTTTTGAGTAAGATCCCATGATAAAATTCTAAGTGTTTGATTCTTCACTGCCTTGAATCTTGTGTATACATCTGTATAAAGTGAATGAAAACACTGTCAAGTTAGAATTGAAGTATGTTACACTTGCTTTGCACAGATGCAAATGAATGCACAAGGTACAAAGCAGTGGAGAAATAGGCTCTGGATTTTTATTAAATAATTTGTTCGGTCTTCTTTTCCCTTTCCACTTCCAGGGGCTAATCTGCTTCTATCCACAGCATGTAGTTATTCCACTGATCATGAATGTCAGTGTGTCTTCATAGAGATCCCTGTCTATATTTGTGTAGGTAATTACTGCAACTATACATAGAAAATATATTTGTGCAACTAAACATCCATTTTCATGTACAGTTGTGATAAATGTGTGCATAATTTTGTGCATGCATATAAACCTAAACCTACATAAAAGTTGACCCTTAATATATATCCTATATGCGAACAACAACTATCACTACAGCCTTACTTTGTAACAACATCTTGCCTCCAATAAAGTGTCTCTTTCTTGATCACTTTTTGGAGGTATATTTTGTTGGCATTTAAGCTTTTCTAAATCTGATCAGCTACGTCTACACTAGCCAGTCTTGCTCAAGAACATATGCAAATGAGGCACGATGATGAATATTGCCACACCTCATTTGCATATTAATGAACCACCATTTTGTGCAAGGGGCTTTTGCGCAAGAGCCGTTCTGCCTGAAAATAAGCAGCAGAATGGCTCTTGTGCAAGAGGGGTTTTTTGCACAAAAAGGAGCAATGTAAACTGCTCCTTCTTGCGGAAAAGCCCTTTGCACAAAATGGCGGCTCATTAAGTATGCAAATGAGGCATGGCGATATTTATTGCCACACCTCATTTGCATATGTTCTTGTGCAAGACTAGTCAGTGTAGCCGTAGCTATCAAGTGTTAAGAAGTTTGACGTCTTGGATCACAGAGGTTCCCTTGAGACTGTCACCTGGACTATGTCTACACTCGCAGCTTCTTGCACAAGAAATATGCAAATTAGGCTAAGTGTGGACTATCGCAGAAGCTCATTTGCATACCTCATGAGCTGCCATTTTTGCAGAAGAGGCTCTTGCGCCAGAAGGAGCTCAAGAAAAACCCTCTTGCGCAATGCCACTACGCCGATTATTTTCAGGAATAACGGGATTGCGCAAGCGGGTTTTTCTTGTGCAAGAAGGGGCAGTGTAGACAGTTCCTTCTGGCGCAAGAGCCTCTTCTGCAAAAATGGCAGCTCATGAGGTATGCAAATGAGCTTCTGCGATAGTCCACACTTAGCCTAATTTGCATATTTCTTGTGCAAGAAGCTGCGAGTGTAGACATAGTCCAGGTGACAGTCTCAAGGGAACCTCTGTGATCCAAGACGTCAAACTTCTTAACACTTGATAGCTACGGCTACACTGACTAGTCTTGCACAAGAACATATGCAAATGAGGTGTGGCAATAAATATCGCCATGCCTCATTTGCATACTTAATGAGCCGCCATTTTGTGCCGTGCTGATCATACCACTGAGCTCATCTTTCTGCCCTCTGGGGTGCTCCATCACTTTGTCCTGCTGGGCCAGGAGTTCTGGTCTCCCCAGAAAAGGCACCCAAGATGGAGTAACAGCTCTCCCTCCCCCCTGCAGAGTAACACAGATGCTGAGAACAGCTCTGGAGGTTTCAGCTTCAGGGACTTGTCAGCATCCAGGAGCATAGCCTTCAAAAAGGACCAAAACCCCAGATAAATCAGTCTTTCTCTGTATAAGAGTTTTAGAGTTTGCTTTCTTTATCAGTGAAAGAGAGATATGCACAGCTGTTGCTTTCCCCCACCCTCGGTAACAATTATTTACAACCCCATGAAAAAACACCAAATTCAGGATGGATTCCAGCACCAGGTGGCTTGGTCTTTATATGACCAATCACAGTTTAAGCTTACAGGAAAAACAGAACTATTTACAGATCATTGTCTTGAGCACCTTGCCATTAGGTTTATTAAGTACCACTATTGGCTTTCACTAGATTTCATATTTCTAATTTCATAAACAAGCATGATGCTTGCACACATAGAATATGAACATTCAAGTGATCACAGGCTCTTGAATGTTAGGTTACTTGACCTGTTTTGCAGAAAACATATTTGAGATATGCATATTCAAAACGTATTTCCGTAAAAATATGGAGACATAGCATCCCGACAGTATCCCTGATGGCCTGTGTCGTAAGACATACAACATCACTTGTTTATTAACTGCTTTGGGGTTTTTGTTTTTTTAGAATGGGCAAAAAAGTAAAGAAGGAAGTGGAGCCTCCTCCGAAGGATGTGGTAAGTGTATAAAATGCTATGTACTGTGAAATGAACATATCACACAATTAGGCTATGTCCACACTGCTGGGTTTTTTCAGCAGAAGATATGCAAATCGTGCTCTCATTTGCATATCTTCTGCTGATCCTTTTGCGGAAGAGACTTTGCTACTAAAAAGCCTCTTGTAGACAGGACTATTGTTGGGAAGAAAAACTTTTTCACAAGATCCCTTATTCCTCAAAAAATGAGGTTTACATGATGTGTTGTTTTTATGAAGAGTGTTATATTTGGCAGTGTTTACAAACAGTAATGTATAAAATAATCCATGCTTCATTTTTCTCTATGGTCTGTATGTTCCCTTCTGACTGTAAACATCAGAGAAAGGGAAAAAGTAACCAAAAACTCCCTGGCATTCAAACTGTGGAGACTGGCACATTCTCAACTCAATGAGAGTAGATGTGTAGCAGTGTGGATGTCTCTGTTACTGCACAGACCTTAATGATTTGCATATGTTTTGAGCTCTAGCACCATGGATTCTGTGTTATCTGCAAAAAATCAGTGTCGATGCATTGCTGTCAATTTCCCCCCCTCCCCCTCACAGTGATCTGGATTCTTTGGGAGCCATGCTGCTATTGGCTGTGCCTCCAGTGACTCTGCAGTATTCTCCTTTTTGGGGGAAAGATGGGAGAGGTGGCAGAGACCATCAGAGAGCGTTAATGATGCATCATATTAAAAAATTCACTGAATTTTTATGGGAAGCATGCCACATAGAGTGGCTGCTCCCTCGCTCTGCCAGTTGCCTACAGGCTTGCAAAGCCTGGACCTCAAAGTAGTTTAAGGAGGGGCATTTAAGAGTTCCTGGGGAAGATGGAAGCATGCTGTGTTGATTCTATTACTTACTCAGTCTTGTTGCTTTCTTGGGTTATTTTTGTTCTCTTTTCATCAGGGGCGGATGAGAGTGCCGCGGGGCCCAGGGCAGCGCCACGGGGCCCCGGGCAGCGAAATTTCGCGGGGCCCCCCCTTTGACATGGCGCATGCGCCGTGGCGCCACGGCGCATGTGCAGGGCCTCGGGAAGCGCGGGGCCCGGGGCAGCCGCCCCACTCTCCCTGCCCTAAATCCGCCGCTGCTTTTCATTTCATTTGCTTCCATATACATTGTGAAAGAGAACACATAGTCTAAACTTAGCTCCTCAGTTCCTTTTCATTGGCTATTGGTGCCTTAGCAGGATCCTCTTTATGTAGTTTCTTTTTTAGAGGTGGTAGACTTGTTTCTTTTCACTATCCACTGTGGGCCAAATCCAATGTCCATTGAAGTCAGTGGGTGCTGGCTCAGGCATTGTGTCATGTGCCTATCCCGGTAATCTGATGAATTTTGCTTAGTTTTAGATGCCTAGCTCTATCCTTGCAGGGATGAGGACATTTTGGATGAGAGCAATACAACTTATGTCCAAACTTTGTAACCCAGCAACTTGCAGAAATGATACTTTTTCCATTATTATTAGCTAGTTTTCTAGGAAACAGTGGAATTTTATTGAAAAGTGGAAACAATTCATTTAAAGCATCCATTAAAACAGAGTGTCCAACTTATTAGGGGCTCTAGTGGGTGGAAAATAGTATCTGAGTTCCTTGTGCATTTTTCCATTAATATTTAGACAATAATGAATTACACATTTTCATGTACTAGAAATGTCATCCATCTGAACTACAGAAAGATGTGAACTGCAATCCTTAAAAATTGCATTTAATTTTTATACGCGCTATGTATTGGGCCAGGTGACATGCAATGGACATCCAATGTTTTATTCAAGCTTCACCTCTGTCTTCAAGTATAGGACAAGTGTTGTCAAGGCGGGAAGTTTTACAAACAACTCATGTAGATTTAGATTAGAATATTGAATTTACAGTTTGTAAATTTTGGTCTGAAATCATGCCTGCCTCAGAGAAATATATTGTTCTAAAAATTATGATTTATCTGAAGATCAAATAGGACTCTTTTACAGAAATGTTTTGCAGAAGTAATACATCTTTGAACTTTTTCGGACTGGAATTGATAGCATGGGAAAGTCATCATTTTGTTCCCTGGAGGTACTGAAAATAGCAATGCAGATATATGTAGTTATCCTTTGCGTTACAGAGGCAAAGGGAGGGGACAACACATTGATATATCTGATGCTATAAACTATTGTAAAAAATACTGAATAGTTTCTTTAAATGATGTGAATGGGTAGCTGGTTAACTGGCAGCTCCGCAGGGCTGGCAGCTCCGTGGACCTGGTGACTGGGAGCCAATAACCCCATGGTCTAGGGGCTGCTCCAGCTGGGTCAGGCCCACCGCCCGTGGGATCCCACCTGTTTACTGATTAAATGGGATTTTACATCCCTATCTTTAAACTTGTTTCACTTTGAAAGTGTCAGGTCTTAACATTCTTGTATAATTCTTTGTGTCTTTGGGGGACTAACAATCTACATTCTAGAATTAGAATTATGTATTCTAATGATAATAATAAATTGATAATAAAGCAGGTCCAGATAACTTACATCCTCAAGTTTTAAAAGCTACCTGAGGAGTTTGCTGGATCGTTAATGTTGCTTTTCAATGTTTTAAGAACACTGGTGAAGTTTCAGGTGATGAAGAAAGCTAAAGTGCCAATATTTAAAGAGGGTAAATGGGATGACTTGGGTAATTATGGGGCTGTTAGTCTGACATCGATCTTGGACAAGATAGTGGAGCAGCTGATCAGGAACTTGATTAATAAATAAACAAGGGCTGTGTAGTAAATACCATTTGATATGGGTTTATGAAACAGTGATCATGTCAAACTTGATAGCTCCTTTTTTAAATGATAGACAAAGGTAGCAGTCTAATATATTTAGACTTTTGTAAGGCATTTGACTTTGTAGTGCATGATATTTTGATTAAACAATTGGAATAATATGGCACACATTAAATTGATTAAAAGCTGGTTATCTGATAGGTCTCCAAATGTAACAGTAAAAAGGCAAGTGGGTGGATTTCTAGTGGAGTTGCACAGAGAAAGGTTCTTAGCCTACACTATTTAACATTTTTTAACAGTGACCTCAGCCTGAAAGAGAACATAAAATCATCACTAATAAAGTCTGCAGACGACACAAAGATTGGGGGGGAGTGGTAAATAATGAAGAGGACAAATCACTCAGAATGATCGGGCTTGCTTATTAACTGGTTATCTAATAAGTGTCCAAATGTAACTGTAAAAAGGGAATCATCATCTAGTGGGTGGATTTCTAGTGGATTTGCCCAGGGGAAGGTTTGTTGCCTACACTAAACAGTATGAAGTTGAATATATTCTTATTGAATATGGAACTTGCCAAGCCTAATCAAAGCATCCTCAGCAAAGTGCAGAGCCCTCAGACCCACCATCAAATGGGATTAAAGTGCAGTCATCATTGATAGGAGACATTAACTCTTTTTTTGCCACTTGAGGGATCTTGCCACTGGCCACAGATATACAAGCCTGGTCATTGACCTTGCCCATTGGAAATTCATTCAGAATGACTCACAAGTAGCATGGCAAATCAAAGCTGGGTGTACACATTGTAGGGTCATCATAAGAGACTGGTTTCTGATGTCAGCTGAAGACCATTCTTCATGTCACATTGACATTATAGAGAAATCTGGGTAGGCCAAGTTGTCTCACAGAGCCAAGTTGTCTCACTGAGCCAAGTTGGCCCCACTGACAAATGCACTCCTGGATGGTCAAAGAGATCTGTGTATATTGGTAGGCATGGGTTTGCCCAGAACTTATTAACCATTCTGGCTGTACTATCCTCACAACATATATGTGAAGTAGCGATGCCACTTAACATGGGAAGTCACAGTACTGATGTGGGTTAAATTTTCCCATTTATGATGTGCATGACTGAGTGTCGCTGTGAGTCAACCAACTTGACTAAATGTAAATGGGAATTATTAGGGAAGTTGCTGACCTTCCTCCGTGACTAACTTTGCTGTTACATACCCAATAAGCCCAGCTACATAGCCTTGGAAATGACATAGTGGCACTATGTCATTTATCTTTGTTGACTTCCCCTGATCACTGCACCTGAACTGCTGAAGCAGTGCTGCAATTGCAAAAGCCAGGGTGTACTCAGCTGCCCAATATACTACTGAACTCCATTGCCTGTCTGTAGATACTGAATGGAATGAGGCTGCACAGAGACATCAGTTTCATATTAGCTTGAACAATGGTATAAACAATGAACTGGCACAGGTTGAGCTGCCATACTGTCTCAATGATTTGATCTACCTATATATCAGAATTAACATCTGCCTTACTGACCAGTGCCATGAATAGGGCTCACCCCTCGAGCTCTAACAATGTCCTGGTCTTCCACCTCTCAACCACCCACCCTACTCAGGAAACCATAATCCATGCATGTAGCCAGGCCTGCCCAAGCCTCACTGAAACTGAGAAGTCTCAATGCCAGACTTTGGGTCTCTGCCTATATTGTGGGGTATAATGGGGTTTGGCATGCAGGTCAGACCAAAGAGAGGTTGTGTCATCTCTTGCCCTGCAACCCTTAGTGCATTTCAACACTTACTGCTATATCTTCCAGCCTGGGATGTTCACAGCCAGCCACGAGCATATAGGTCAGATCCTGAGTGCCTGCATATAACCGCAGTGTTGGTCCAGCAGTTCTGACCCCAGCAGCCTTCCATTCACATTCCCTGGTCTCTACCAGTTTTAATTACTTGCAAAGTCACCCTAAAACACACCCACTCCCAAGACTAATTTTCAAAGAAATGAAAAGAATAAGTTACATTAAATTGAATCTTTGGATATATGAACTCCCATGACAACTGCGCACCTGTGGGATTATATGAAGCTCAAAGCCCAGGGCCTGATGAAATGCATCCTAGAATACTCAAGGAGCTGATAGAGGAGGTATCTGAGCCTCTAGCTATCATGTTTGGAAAATCATGGGAGACAGGAGAGATTCCAGAGGACTGGAAAAGGGCAAATATAGTGCCCATCTATAAA